GTGGTAGGCATTCGTTTGTAGTGGGTAGGTAGTGTAAGGTAGGTAAGGTAGATAGGCGTACCTAGGGTGGGGTGTGCGAATAGGCATCCGCACCCGCACCCGCACCCGCAACCTGGGCGTGGTCCGGTCTGTTCTGGTGCGCCTGGTACAAGTCCCTATCCATGCAAGACGGTTAACCTGGGAGCTGTCTGTGTTGAGAGCTCGAGGCAGAGGGACAGGCAGAAGGGTACCACTACCGTGGCCGGTAGGCTGTGGGAAGGATGAAGGGGGGAGGGGTGGCCTGTGGAAGGGTGTGTAGGGCACAGCAGAAAATGTAGGTGCTGTGCGGCAGAGGCAGGGTACCTCGTACCCAAGGCGTCCGCAGATACGCAGTAGGTAGGTATGCGAATAGATACCAAGTAGAGAAGACTGAAGTGAACAGATGAAATTTGGGAGAGGGGGGGGGGGGGGGGGGGGGGGGTGATGGGATAGGATGGGAGGGGGGTGACAACCGCCGTAGGGCAGAGAAAGAGAAGCACGTTCCTAGTAACAGACGGGAGGCACATCAGAAATCCGAGTCAACGGAGCGAGGAGGTGAGGGTACGTATTCGTAGTTCTGTTGTTTCGCTGGCGGCCAGGCTGCAGCGAAGCAAGAAGTGCGAACACACGCGCAGCACCGTCGAGATACGGGGTGGAGTGAGTGGTGGAGAGCGACGCGCGAGAACAGGTGCACTGCGATGGTGCACCTGCTGCAGTCCAGTATTGCAGGGGTCTGGGTCGAGGGCGGGAAAGAGACGGTGGGGGTACGTACCGGGGGCCTCTCGTCCAGCCTGGTGGAGTCGACGTCTCAATCTGGCTGTAGGGGTTCAACCACACCAACCACAGTCCACGCCACGCCTACCCAAGGCACCTTATGGTACGCGGGCACATAGCTTAGTCCGACATGGATGGCGACCTGGGACTTGCCCGGAGACAGGGGACTAGCCTTCTATTGCCTGCATCCAGGTCGCCGCACCGTGGGCGGGGGAAGGGGGTCCAAGGTTGAGGCTGGGGTAGGGGTCCCGTCTCTTTCTGTTCTCCACCACCATCGCTCCACGACACGGGGGGGCTCAAGACCAGCTTGACTTGACTGGACGACTTGTACGAGAAGCGCAGAAAGGTTTGGCGCAATTATACCGGACAAAACGATCAAGGACCAGCTTTTGTCTTGCTGGCCATTGCCTAATTACTTGCGTGACCAAAGATTGGATCCGATGCCATCTTATCTTGCCGCCTCCCGTGAATTGTGCCTGCCACACCACACCACCCAACAGCAACAACAACAACAACAACAACAACATGAGAAGGAAGGATCATGGCCAGCAAAAGAGCCTTGTTGGACATGACACCAAGCAAGCGCAAATAAACCGAGCTAAGTGTGCTAAATTTGCCTACTTGACGGCCTCCTCTTCAGTTCTGCATCAGTAGCTACATACAATTGCAACCTGCCGAATGTTTGGTGTCTGTCTGGCTCGTGGCCAGAAGCCGACGAGGGACTGCACTGTAGTATCGGTATTTTGAGATGCAGCCAAACCCTGGAACCTGCTGCTGCATCGTGCCATCTACCTTACCAAAAGACAGGCCCTTGCCAAAGGATCGCGTCCCTGGGAAGCGTCAGGTTACACAAGACCCCCCTTGTACATACCCAAGGTTCCTGACTACCTATACTAAGGTACGTACCGAGTGCGGATACAATGTCCGTAGGTACCTATCTCGGGTACGGGGGCGTCTGCGAGGCATCAAATGAGAACATGCGAGGTACCTACCTACTCTCGTCGCCTTGAGCTCATGAGAAAACTCGCGGCCGCCGTTGCGCTCCGTAGGGCTGCCCATCAGCAGCACAGAGTAAGGTAAGGTAGACTCGGTCGACCTTGCCCAGCAACACCACATCGATGATGGAGGGTCGCGCTACCGCCGCCACAGGATAAACGGCAAAAGGTCTGCTGGCATTTCAACCCAAGGCCAATCCAACACCAGTTAGGTGGCCTGTCGCCCGTCGCCCTTCGCCCTCCGCCCTTCTCAGCGTCCCGTCTTTTTAGGTGTATCATGTACAATTCATCATCGCCCAGAGTGTGCGTTCTGCTCCAGCTTTAGCAGCATTTCCCAATCTGTCGCCGCCATCAATGGCCAAGCTTTGGGCTGGCGCCTGGGAGGCGGCCGATCGCTCATTGTCCACTTTAAAGATGGAGACGGCACCTTCGCTATCTTTCGGGGGCACTGGACAGTTACAGGTCCCAAAGCGCTGCTCCCCAAGATACCTAGCTCAGCCCGCACAGCACCCTAGCCGCTCCCAAAGTCCCTCGCATTGCCTGTATGGGGAGCCATAGACCAATGCAAAGAAAGACGTTTCCATCCTGCGACCATGTCCAGCCACCAAACCTACCTTGGCTACCTACCTACGTAGGAAGACCTTCACTCCCCCAAGGCATTTGCCATGCCTAGCAAAGGGCGCGTTTCGTCTTCCAACGACACACGGTTCCCGTGTCCAGTAATTGGGTTCATGTAGCATACCTACCTTACATACCTTGCTCCATCAGGTGGCGAGCATCTTCGGCAGGATATGTTGTCTGTCACCTTACCTACCACGGGCATGGGACGGGGTAGACTTTGCGGGCGTCGAGGGGATATTCGGATGGAGATGAGTGTATGAAGTGGGTGACTAGAAGTCTCTGTGAGTCAACCCGCCCCCTCCGGACCGTATCCGAACTGGACGGGAGTCCGTCTGGGCAAAGCGCGAGCTTGCCTGCGTACACGGCCCCTTCTCTTACTGTTATTGTGCCGTTCCGGACAGGTTCCACGGAGTCGCAGGTCCTCGGAGGTTGAGCGGGCGCTCAATGATTCCAAAAAAGGGGAGTAAGGAAGCAGAAATACCATGGATAGCTATACACGTAGCGCGCTGGGAACCTGGAAGCACCTGGTGAGGCGACTGATCGCCGTTGAGGACATCTACTGCCCCGGAGGGAGCGTGGCGGCGCAGATCCCACCCGCACATGCTGCTCCCGAACATTTGTCGATGGATGGCTCACGAATGCCTCGTTCCGGACTGGACTGTGCTCGACTTCGTCTGCCTTCATGTTTCCAGAAGGAGTCGTCGTCTACAATGCGAAACATGATGGACAGGGTCATGATATTGCGATGCGAAAATGGACCAATCCCAGGACACACCGCTCAAGGCTCATTCGGTGTGACCACCGCGTGAACAGAGGACCGGGCTGGCAAGAGAACAAAAGCTCATCTGGTTGACTGGACTTGACTTGGATGGACAGCCAGCCGGGGAAGGGAACATCGTGCGGATACATGCTTGAACCGGCCGACAATCTGATCCTGGGACCTAGCACCCACCGCCCACGCTCCAGTACACTATTTCCTGGGGACACTGGACGGGAGAAGGTGGGGCAGGTCGCAGTTCAATTATGATGCTAGGTAGTGTATTCGTAAGGTGCACTACCGTAGTTGCGTGGGACGGCACCTCACGTCGGGTGGGCCCAGTCGTAGACGGGGAATCGGATCACGCTAGTCCTAATATAGCGAATCGTAAGTCGAGCCAATCATAGGCCCTCAATGTCTCGAAGCCAAGCTTTTCCCTGCCTCGAACCCAACACTGGACCCGCTGGACCCGCTTGCCTCGGGATGACTGATGCCAGATTCCAGACTCCCGTCGGGATTCAGACACCAGATCAATTCTACACGAAAGTTCAAGCGCGCCATTGCACCCCTGCACGCCCACTGTCACCGTGCGCCCCTGACAGGCCGTTGTCCGATTCTACCAATCTCGAGCACGAGAATTCGATTGCCTGATTCAAGTGGGGGATGGAGGACTACTGCGTATCCGTAGACGCAAAGCAGACCTCACCTTGACTCTCTTTCTCGTAGGATTCCCCCAAAGGACCATGCGCTGTTCAGTGTTCAGGGTCTCCCCTCTGGCAAAAACACCGCAACTACATAGTAATGTCAATCAATGACCCGCCGGTCAGCCCCGCAAACGTCCCTACACGTCCCGTCCCCCCAAATGCCCAGTTCCCTCCCGCCCGACGTCATACCAAAGAGGTCAAAAGGAATCAACCTAAGCCGGCCCTTGCGGACTAAAAGCGGGAAAAAGCCATTCCGACTTACCCAGCCACGGGGCGCGGTGCACCAGATCGGCCAAACCGTTTTGGTTGTGCATGTTTGATCCAGTCGTGGGAAGCGGCACGTATCATACGCCTTCCATTAGCCGCGCTTTAGCGCACCTTGACATTTCTTTCATGTTGCCCATGGCTTGCCATCTTGCAAAAGGTCCAACCTGACACACGCCGTGTCCGTGGGTCGTAAAACTCGACAAACGACAGCGTCTCTTGCTCGACATGGTTTCCTTTGCCTATGAAACCTCCCTCATCTCGACTGGTCTCGGGCTAGGTAGGAGCTGGAGGAACTTTGGAGGCTGAAGCGCCCATATCCGAACTTTCACATCATCTTCACCTTGGGTGAAGGAGGCCAGCGAAGCAAATTGTAGCGGGATGACTTGGCGCTAGGCTGGTCGTGGTTGATCTGGCAGATGGCTAGAAAAACATCCATCCGAATTAGCTAGCTTGCGCCCGCTTCATCGTCCACTTTCTCAGGCATCACGTACAGCATCAAAAGTTCTTCATTGCCCGCCGCGTCCATCTATCCGTACAAAAGGTACCTGCTTTTTAGTACCTCCTGTGCGTGCGGCGCAGTAATAAGGCGCTTACAGTGCTTCAGTGTGGTCAGGGGCTGCCCCCGTCTGCCCCTCCTGTCCGCCGAGAGACACCATTCTCGGCCCCCAATGACGAGAATGCCCACGTGCTTTGTAAGACGTCTATTTTTGCGTGGTCGATTAGCAAGACGCTGGCTGAAATGCTACTCGTCCATTCCACCATTGCGTGCACAACCTTGTTCCTCCACAACTTGCTTCCTGAGCGGAGGTACTCCATCAACGGTTGACAAGATGCCACCTCACCTGCTCATATTGGGCTCTCGCTATGGACGAGATACGCCTGTCATTACTGCTGCTCCTAAGGCGGCCTCGTCTAGACCGTAGTCCGAACAGGATTCTGTCGACAAGTCGGTCGACGCAGGTAACGCGCTGCGAAGTCCCTCTTCTGTCCGTCCATGGTTTCAACGAGCTCAGCCCAGCCAACGGCACTAGCTTCGACACCCATGTTTGCGGATCTATCATCGCCGCAGAGCAAGCACAGACAATTTGGCAAGAGGTGTGCACACTCGGACCAAAGACCAATCAAGAGCCTTCAATCCAGTCAACAGGGCTGCAGCAATTTACCGCCGCCGCGCCGCCGCATGTCTCTTCTCCTCCGGGACGGGGAGCCGTTGGGCTGGTTTTGTTTTTCCCTTCTTTTGTCTTCTCCCCTTCCCAACGTGCAGCAGTGAACTGGCAGTTACACGCACCTCACCACCACTATTGTTGCGCCTCCAACAAGAGCCACGTAAAAGAGCCTGTAGAACGCCTTCTTCAGCAACAGAGACAGATTCACACCACACATCTTCCGTCCATCGGCCGCCGAGCCAATCCACCCGGTTCCTGTGGACGAACACTCCTTCCTTCATCGGCACCATACACGAGCCTTCAGCGACAACTCACCACTGTCCACGACACGCCGCGCACTAAACGAATTATCAGAACCCAAAGTCCTGGTCGGTCATCCTTCGGAATGACTGCTGCCTGGTATGGATCATGCACTTATTTTCGGTTCCAAAGCGGCATTTAACTCGCTCTTTAGACAGGCCACAGCAACCGACTGATAGGGGAGAGGGAGATCAAGCGAATCGCTATGAACAACTCGCCAGCTTCCGTTGTCGAATTTTATTCCCCTGTGCGGCCAGTCTGTTCGCATACCCATCAGTCGTACATTTTGGCCCATTCGCCTTTCTCTCCCCAGTGGATAGCCCTATGTCGCCGAGATTGGATTCATCTTACCTGGCGATGTGCAGGTCTGCAGCCCCCTCCCCCTCCCCCTCCCCCAAGGGCCCGGGTTTCAGGGCCCCAGGCCGAGCTCTCGGGCTCCAACAGGGGCAGTTTGATCAGTTTAATGATAACAACAGCTCCTTTCCAAATGTACCCTGACAGAAGAGGCCAGCGCTACCCCTCGGCCGAGGCTTCGTCAACAGGGGGTATTCCCTGGGCCGCAGTCAGCATCAGCTGTGGCGCTCCCAGGTTCCAGGGGATTGGCATATACATTTGCTCGACTCCCACGATATCTTTAAAGTTCTGACACTTTCAATAATGCAAAGACTGCGAATGTTGAATCGAGCCGTTTTACTTTGCCCAAGACGTGCAGGTCTCGCACCTAAGAATACTCTGTAACTGCCTGGCCACACCTCGCGTGTTTATTCAAGGAGGACGACAGGTTACAGGAACTGTGGATGTAGGTGCCGGCCAAACGGCCCCACGGCGGAGGGCAGGTGTGCTGTTCTTCTTGGTGGGCTATCCGCATGTACGGATACAGTTCTGAACAGACACTCTCGACTCGGGGCTCCGCCACTGTCGATGTGGTCTGGGGAGTGGTTGCCGAGACGAACCGATGGACAGACATGGCAAGGAATTGCTTAGGTGCGAGGACTCCGCACTTTTAAGCAGTAGGTACGGATACTGGGTGAGGACTCCGACTCTCAGTGTAGTTCATTGCTTCTCCACCGCTCTCCTGGTTCCAAGCCAGGGCAATGACAGAGAAGGGCACTTACTATTAGAATGGGTCACGGGCTTTTGCTCCGGGCTGCATCGGACCAACAGCCTTACCTTGTCGCCGAGTTGTCCAAAGTCCCGTACATATTAGGCGACATCCAATGAAACAACCCGGACGGCGTCTATGACTGGCCGGTTCGGACTCGGAACATGTCCCCACTTTGCTCTCTCCCATCCGAACCCGCAGCCTCCCACCCCCGGCGGTTTGCCAAAGGAGAAGAGGGAAAAACAAAAACAGCAGAAGATGAATGACACCGAAAGAGAAGGGAAGGGGAACATACAGAGGAGAAGAAAAAAGCACTTTTGGAATAACAGACGGCTGCCTTGGTAAGACGTGGATGGATGATGTACATACTCCACTCGGACAAATATCCATCGGGGATTACAGTATCAAGTCATCACTATCACTGCTGAGACGCATGTCCTAATCTATAGCCACGACCCGGCCGATCGAGCAAGGAACTCTGCTCGGGTCAAGGGTCACCATTTTCTGATATGACGAGGAAAAAAGGTCGCAGTCAATGTAGGCTTTCAGTCTCATACACTCCTTCCTACTGGGAGCTCGCTGCATCCAAGCTACAACGACGCCTCGTCACAAACCTTGCATCCAGTTCCGGATCAAAATCATTTGTGCTGTGGCTGTCCACGGAACCCGTTCCTTGGCCGTCACAGAAGTTAGACGACCGTGGCATTGAGTATCGATGAAAGAAATAAAAAATAAAAATTAGGCATCTGGGTGGGGGGAATGCTTGTCGTGGTGGTTCAGCAGTGGTCGAACTAGTTAATTATACACCGGGCCCTGGTGGCAGGGAGGCACATACATTCAGCCACATCAAGCCAAGAATCTTTGTTCTTGGAATAGGTAGGGTTGGCATAGCTAAAAGCCGACATAGCGCAGAGGGCTTGGGCACTGCCGTCCCTTTCGGTGCGTCAACGGAAACGCTCGATGACGGTCGGGGATTGGTAAGCTGATGACAACGTCAGGCCAGGTCCGGTTAGGTAAGAGCAGATCGAGCAGAGTTGTCCGAATTGGGTAATTCGTTGAAATCAACCAATCAAACAGGGCTATTTTCGCAGATGCGGTATGTGTAGATCCAATCCTCTGGCTCTTCAACAGGCTATGACGGATAAGTATCCCCCAGGATGAAAGTGGACAAAACGACCATTGCGCGCCGAAAGTTAAAGCACGCCGTTTCAAGCGTGTCTAATAATGATACGGCAGGAGAATCAACTAACTGCCTGGCCTAATGGGCGTGTCGCAAAGCAGGAACGATGTCTCTCCTAGCTATATATGTGGCGATGAGAAAGACAAACCCAAGACGGACACGTACTAAAGTACTGAATGCATCTGCAGGCATGGTAGACACCAGTTGACGGACAGACAGGCAATGATGCTGCCTCTACCCGTGCTTGACAGGTTCCCATGCGCCCAGTAAGACGTTAAAATACAAATGGACTCGTAGGGCTGGCCTTGGACATAAGAGCAGTTCCTCCGCCACCAGCCGACGCATGCACACACGTGCTCTTGTGTCTTGCGTATACTACAAACCAAGCAAAAAACACGTGGGCAGTTGGACAGTCGCGCAGATGCAACGTGTGGTTGACGATACGCATCGTCGTATCATTCTGGAAGCTCACGAGAGTGGGGCTACACGGCATGCTCTCTCCTCTCCGCGCTGCGCGCACGCCATCGAGGCAGCTGGTCAACGTGCTCGACTCACAATTGAAGACATGTGCAACTCAGCATCTTTCTGGCGGTGTGGCTATCTAAATCGCATATCAAGACACCAGCTGACATCGGCCAACAAGTGACCGTGATCCGCATATTGCGCATCCAGTCGCATGTAGCGTCCCTCCCTACCTAGGCGGCATGTGAGGCAGGAGGTGTGCTTGCCCTGGTAGAGGAGCACATGACGTATGAAACCCTCTGCTGTTTTCACAGGCGGCATTCAGACTGTTGAGTGCAGCCTCCTGGCACGACACAGGCGAATTGACTTGAACGGGGACGGAAATGGGCCTCTTTTCGCTTGATCAAGTTGTGAAGTCCTCTTGGCTATTCGTTATGGATGGTGAATCGAAACAGCACAGGGTGCGGAGTGTGAGTTCGTGTCGATACTGCTAGTGAGGGAGGGAAAAGGCGGAGTTGCTGTACGAACATGAGCCTAAACGGTCATCGCTCCGTGCTCCTCAAATGGAGGAGTACACCAGGCCTTTCAATTTGTGAGCATTGCGTGTTTGGAATGTAGCTGGCATAGTTCGTCAGCAGAAAGATACCTCGCTCTATCAGGGGCGGAGAAACACGGGCTTGACCACGGGGACTAGAGGTGCTTGGGTGCAGCTGCCAAGCTTCGGTGACGCCGCCGATAGCAAGGGGCCATAGGGCTGAAGACGCATCGCTGGACGACGTTGATAGGCTCGAGTATTCGTAGAGGCACGTACGTAATGTTGTGCAACCCCAAGTTCGCTAGTCCGGGTATCAGGACATGATGCTATCTGCGGCTGCAGGTCTCAGCTGCAGGGTGCAAAGAAGCTCTCCATTGAGAGGAACGGTGCACTTGCGAGGCCAAGTAGTGAGGTACTTGGACAGTGAGTATCGTTTCTCATCCCATGGTCCTTGATTCTACCTTTACAAGCCTACATACTCGCCCTGGTAGCAAGGATACCGCACGCGCCTTGCAAAGAGCTTCGGGTTGCTCGGGGTGCTCGTATACAAGAGCTTATCTCGGCGGTTCGAACGTGTGCTTGCCGGTGAATTCGCGTGCCACGCCCTTCCGTTGTCATCAGACAGCGGCCGCGATGGAGTCCGAGCCTGATCGGATTTAACGGGGCTGGCTGCGAACCACACTAATCCGAGTTTCCTTATGAAGCAAGCCGCAATACTCGACCTGTCGATGTACGCTGTGCAGGAGCCTCCGGGCTACCGTACCCGGGCCGACTTGGCCTGGCTGGCTCAGCTTTCGCGCATCCGAGTTACGTGGTCGGTAGCGGTAGTGTCCACTCCTGTGACCCGGCCGATCGTAGCGGTGAGAGGCATTTGACGATACGTTGGACATTGCCTCCTGAAGTTTGCCGTAGTTGTTCATTCTCGGTCCAGTCCGTGGTGCGCAAAATGCCGGGCCTACTCGAGCGATGGCTGAAAGCCTAGCATTCAGCCTGGCGATGTACGTATGAAAGATGCGACGCACGACCTGTGAGTGGCTACATCTTTGGCAGGAAATGCTCTCGAAAAGATCCGGAGGAGCCACAATGGCCCCCGATCGAAAAACATCGGCCGCTAGTGCGGGTCGCGCAGGGTCGCCTCTCCAGTGCGAAACCATGATGTCAATTGTGATGTGGTGCAGTGAAGTGTGGGCACAAAAGCAGAGACGGAGACATGGACGGGGAGAGGCGTAGAGGAGGACGAGCCCTCCAATCAACGTCGAGTCCGCCAGTTGAGATGAGTTTTGGCAGTGGACTTGAACGCTTTGGTGGCAGAAAGAGCGGGAGCAAGGGGCGAGCGGGCTACTTAGTAGGGTGGTGTGCAGGTGGCCAAGGTAATTAGGCATCTAGGTACCTTAGGTATCCGTAGGGAACGGAAGTACACTAGACGGGAGGCATGTATCCTCCCCGCTCCTCAATCCTTCCACTTGCACCTGCAACCTGCAACCTGCAACCTGCTGTACTACTGTGCGCCGACACCACCAGCGCGTGCCAAAGTACACATCCACACGAAAGGATCACCAGGCCCGGGCAGCCAGTGTCTTGTGTAACCATGGGGTAGTTAGACAGCCTGCCCTCCTCCTCCAAAATGCGGAACGACGGCTTCGCAGCGTTGGACCACGGGCTTTGGGATGGTTGAGAAGGGACCTTGTGTAACATCGAATCTCAGCCAAAGAACCGCGTAGGGCTGCCTGCTCCCTAGCACACGGCTGAGGGCGAATTGGGCCTTTAGGAAGGAAGGTGGGCAAAAAGCCAGACGTGGGTGTTCAAGGTCCGGCTATGGACTATTTGTAAGCTCTTCCCATCAGGCTCCCGCTAGCTTTCCATCTCTCGGTGATTCCCCGGCTATTCCCGCACGTTGTCTCTGATTCCTTGGAGAACACCTACCCTTTGCCGACTGCTTGTTTAGTAGCGTGACGTACACAGGTCCTCTACTGCGCTCATGAAATACGGACTACGCAGCAGGTATCACCGCCTGTGGGACTCACTGATAGGTCTGCTGTGCTCCAATGGATCCTGGGCCTTGCTAGGATTACCCAAAGGACCTCGCAGCTCATCCCGCATGGCCCTCTGTTAACCACCAGCCTTAGAAAGGGGGTTGATGGTTCGCTGCCCGTATGATCATTTCCCGCCCATTGGTCTTTTTGTACCTCAGACGATTGGTTCCAACGCTACGGAAGTAC